AATCGGAAATTATTCAGGTTTGTGGGCATAATTTACGACGACTGAGAATGATAATCGGTAGTTGGTTGAGTTAGTGTGATGCCGGGTTGCTGAGCTGGTTCGCATTCGGTTGTGCGGATAATGCATCGAAAGAGTAGTGTCCACAAGTGAAGAGAGACGAGAAGAATCTTTCGAAAATTATGGATTTTTGCATTTGACAAACGACACGAAAACACCAAAGTCGTCAACGTGCATAATTGCTTCATCATCATCATCGTCTTTGCATGCTACTGCCATGGCTGTTGCTGCTGCTGTCACTGCAATCAAATGCATACCTAAATTATAGTTTGAAGCTTACAGGTTTCCAAAAATCATCTGGACATTACTGTGCGATTTGATTGATTGATCAAATTCTTGAGTTTGTTCCCAAACGAGACGGTACTCTTGAATTGCACTCAACCGGCTCATGCAACAACACCAACAGCAGTAAAAATGCATTGAATGTAACGATTGATTGATTGAGTTGCAAATGTACACTGGAAAACTGGAATTACCGTAACACATTGAAATCAATGAAAAAATTTTCAGCCTGATTATGAGAGAGTTGATTTCTCGCTTCCAAACCATATTAAATTCAGTGACATTTCATGGCGCCTATTAATTTTCATTTGATAAACGCGTTAGGGAAAACAATTCTTTTGGGTATCAACAAGTCAGTCAGTCAGTCGATCCAAAGATTCAACATGAAATATGACATTTGCTTGATGATATACAATTCCATGAAATTGATCGTAGAATTTTCAGACTGAAAACTTTTTTTGTGAAACAAGTATTTCTGTGTCCATTAGCATCGATGACAGTGTTCAAATAATATAATTGTGAATTGATTCATACTCAGCCTTCTACAATTCCGATCTGCTATCGTCGTCGTCGGAACAAACAATATCTGAATGTTGAGAAAGAATGCTCAAGAACAGAGACTTCTGAATGAAATATGCAACAACAGTTCACATTCAACAATTCATAATTCAAAAGTTGATCAAATGAATGTANACAGAGACTTCTGAATGAAATATGCAACAACAGTTCACATTCAACAATTCATAATTCAAAAGTTGATCAAATGAATGTAATTAATTCTCATCAACTTCTTGCCGTAATGACCAACAGATTTGTTATCGTTAAAGAATTTATCTATACGTTCGAAAAGGACGACGAATCTGCGGTGGTTTTCGATTTTTTCAACGATCAATGAATTTAATGGCGATACAAAATTGATTTGCTTCTTAACTGACATTGTCACATTCCTCACACAATACAGCAGCACACAGAGGCGGGCGGGCGGCCTCTTCGAGTACATTTGAAGTTTCTTCTTGTTCTTCTTTGAAACCACTGATAAACTACACTTTGGTGGTGAAACTACCGTAACATTGCACGAAAATATTTCACAAGCATACATACATATGTATTTGCGATAGAAATTTCAATCTCAAAAACATTTAGTTTTATGCTAATCGCCATCTTTATTTAATCTGTTGCAAGGTAGTGACTGGTGAAAGTATGGCTCAATTGTTTGCGATGAATTCTCATTAGTGATTTTTTGACACTCACTTGAGATCGCATTGAGCATTTGTCAAGCCGGATCNTTGTTTGCGATGAATTCTCATTAGTGATTTTTTGACACTCACTTGAGATCGCATTGAGCATTTGTCAAGCCGGATCAACGCCATATGAATTGATTTGAGTAAAGAAGAAAACGAAACGAAGTTAAATCGCACAACTCCCAAATCATCGTAATGTTGTGTTGATAGCTTTGAACTTGGATTTATTGCTTTGCTTTACACAACTCGACGTTGCGATGTACTTTGGCACACATCGTTATCGATGAGAATTTTTTGTTGTTCACTTCATCAAAATAGAAATGATCGAAAAAGCGACCAAACTTTAGACGGTGGATGTTCACTGTGCCAACTTCGATAAAACTCTAATTAGCGCTCAACTTTTTCCATTCACTCAATAATGAATGCACACGCCATCCACAAATTTCCAATTCAATGCATAACACAGAAGTGATTTTCTTCAAAAACACATCCATATCTAAGTCACTCATTTCTGCCTTCGGCGTTACATTCGATATTACCTCAGTGAGTCGTTGAAAGTTTCCGCTCATTCACACTGAATAATTAACTGAAAATTTAGAACCTGTCTGCTGGAAACTATAACAACCCGTGCAATTTTATGAACTGTAAAATTTTGTTTGGAACGTAAAAACCGGAATGCCTATCGTACTTGCTCACTGCAAACGTACTCTTCNCAAAGAAGCATTTTTTCGATGAAATGAATGATTTCACAAATAATCAAAGAATTCGAAACGATTGACCGTGTGGGATTGAACACATTGTGCTGTGTGCATCGAAAAATATTGGAAAACTAGATTTTTCAACAGTGTTACAGGAGTCTTTCCGATTTCAACGTAACTTATGCTGTTAT